TGGAAGGGCTGGAGATGGTCGCTGTGCTCGTGGTCCTCGCCCTGTTTGTCAAGGTCCTGGAGCAGTTTGGCCTCTTTGAGCCTGTCTCCTTGGAAGGTAACCTAGGTATCTGGGCAGGTCTGGGCTGCTGGCTGGAGGGACAGCTGCCAGCAGCATCGGGGAGGGGGTTACTCTGACTTTTATGACTGGGGGCAGGGGTGAGCAGGTTAGTAATGGGATAGGGCATCTCGGTGAGGTGAGGAGGGGTGAGTGGGAAACAGGACATATGGGAGAGGTAAAGAGGGGGACTTGAGGCGTGGATCTGGGGGGTGGTATCCGGGGAAGATGAGGAGGGAATCTGGGGGACTGGGTGTCAGAAGGAGATGAAGAGAGAGGGCCAGGGGACAGGGTGTTTGGGGAGATGATGAGGGGTACGGCATGGGAGGACTGGAGTATGGAGGTGAGGGGAGTCTGGGGGATATGAGGGGAGGTCTGGAGATAGGCAGGGATATCTGGTGTAGAGGAAGAAGGTTCCAGGGATCACGAGACAACACCAGACCTGGGGAGTCCCTTTTGGGGCCAGCAGCCCATAACGGGGCTCTGAAGATGTATGTGATTCTCCACACCTCCATCCTTGCAGGTGTGTATGTGGACTCAGTGTGTGAGATACAGGGATTATAATTGTGTGTCTGTGTATGTGTGTGTTGAGAAAGGACAAAGTGTGTGACTGTGAGCCTGTGCATCAGGGATGTGATCAGAGCGACTGGGTGTGTGACTTTGTCTGATAGTAGATGTGACTGTGCCTAATGGGGACAGGGTATGTGGCTGAGCATCTTTGGGTATCGGATTGTGTGCATGGCTGTTCCCAGAGTTCCCTGAGAATATACCAGCTCTATACACAAGGCTTAGGATGGGAGTGGGTTCTAGTGGGACAAGAGTGGGAACACTGTGAATAAGACACTTATAGATCAGCTCTGGCAGGAAGGAGAGGGGTGGGTTAGACCAGGAACCCTGTTTCCCCAAAGCCCCCTTGCTTCTCCCAGTTCCTCTCAGGATCCCAGGGCAGAATGGTCTCCAGGGCCTAGACCTTGGGAGTGGGATATCAATTTTCCATTCCATCCCAAAGCCAAGTGGGGAGAGTGATATTGGAGGTAGAGAGGGGAGCACTTTTTGCCTCTCCCCTCCCCCCTCCTCCCCCACACGGAGAGTTTTGGCCTCTCCCTCATTTTCACACCAAGAACTGTGCAGCTGTATAGCATGGCTGTTCCCTAGTTCCATCAGGGACAGGAAAACTGGCAAGAAACATGATAGGAGGGCTGCAGCATAGACACCTGGGAGAACTAAAAAGATGTGAAGGGAGCTGGGGACAAGAGGAAGGTCCATAAATTGCCTGCTTCAGAGTTCAGTAAGAGGAGAAAGCTTCTAGCCCACCCTCCATTCTCTTCTGCATTTATTGGGATGGGATGAGGAACAGGGGTTGCTCCTAGATGCAGTGGGGTTCATCCAATCCTGAAAACATGAAGTCAGTTGGGCTCTAATTTGCCATTCCCTTTAGACTATTTGGTGGGAAGAGGTGTCATCCAGGAAACCCAGGAGTCCTGTAGGCTGAAGGCAACCTCTTTCTTTTCCTACTTCTGGAGGAACCTAGAGGAAATTGAGTCCTGGGAGTATGTAAGGAGGATGTGTGAAGAGGAGTAGGTTGGAAGAGGCAGGGGAGCCTCCCCCACCCCAGTCTGGTGGCGACTATACCACCAGAGGCCCCAGGTGCAATTGGGCTTCTGCTTCGGGAAACCAAAGCCTGGGCTAATGGAACCCTGGGCCAGGAGCCAGGCCGCCATCGATCCCCACCCGGCCCACCGCCTCCCCCCTCCCACCTCTCCACAGCTCCTGCTGCGGAAGAAGAGGAGAGAAAGTATTGAAGGGGGAGGAGGCTTTGACTTCTAGCTGTTACCTCCTGGGAGAAGGGCCTTGTCCTTAGGGTGGAGTCTGGCTTGGGAGGGCGGGACCTGCATGGGAGTAGGGATGCCCGAGTAACCTACAACCAAAGGAAGATGGGCCCCTCCGGGAATGGACTGAGGCCAACCTCAGTCTGTGTGCCAGGTCCGGTGGACTCTGGCCCGAGTCTGGAGACCGGTGCAGCCGGGAGACAGACACATGTGAAAGCGGCGAGTCTCTCTAGGATGCAATTATAGTTGTAGGACAAGTATGTAAATAGGGGAAGTGAGGGGAACTGTGATCATTGGGCTCTGGATAGGCCACATTATACCAAAATACTCAACTCTAAGGTCTGTTATTGCCTCAAAGTTCACTATCGTTTCACCTTCAAAGAGTAAGCCATACTGGAATGGACTGGGAAGGAAAACTGAGGGTGGATGAGTTCGCTGATGAGGAACTCTGTTCAACTGGCAGGAAGACTCTAGGTGCTTTGGAATGAGGACTTGTAGAAAAGACAGGGCGTACCCAGGACACATAGGGGTTCTGTGAGTGAGGTGCAGTCTTAGATATCTGGGTGCCATGGACACATAGGTCACAATATAATATGGGTATGTGTCATGGTGACCTTGATGTATGTCGTAAATTATAAGGGCATAGTCTGTTGTATTGTCATTAATACAGTGTCATGATGTCCCAGGGTCATTGTGTGTTTTTGTGTGGTTTGATTATGCTGTGTGTAAGATGGCCTGTATAGGTCCTCATATATGTGTGTCAAAGTTTTCCTAGATCATGTTTGTATATGTTTGTATTAAGGAGTTTTAGGTTCAAAGTGCGTGCGTGTGTGTGTGTGTGTGTGTGTGTGTGTGTGTGTGTGTGTGTTGGAGGCTGCTTAATTAGGCCATTGGGTGAGACTGAGTTACTGGGTAGCAAGCTGTCCCTGTATGGCATGTCACTGTGATTTATCATTCTATGTGTCACTATACACTCCTGTCATTATATGTGTGTATGGGAGAGGTGTTCCTCCTCAGGCAATCCTTGGGTTGGACATCACCCTCAGAGGTCCAGCCATAGCACTGGAGCCAAAGGCACGGGGTCAGCAGACACTGAAGCCAATGCCACCTCCTCTCCCTCCACCCCCTTGGATGTCCCTGGCTGCGTCCCATTATACAAGATGCCCAAGCCGCCTCAGTGGATTTTCCATGTCTCTGAAACCCACAGGGCTCCCTAACCCGGCCCCAGCTACCCTCGCTGTCCCTCCTCAATCCTCTTCAACAAACACCGCCCCCAGTCTGGGTTGATTTGTGATGGTGGGGAGGGAACAGGGTAACGGAGGGGCAGTGGGGGTTAATGTGCCTTCCTGGGGTCTTCTCTCTTCCCAGGCCACCCTCCAGGGCCCACTAAAAAAGCGCTGAAGCAGCGGTTCCTCAAGCTGCTGCCTTGCTGCGGGCCCCAAGCCCTGCCCTCAGTCAGTGAAAGCAAGTGCCGCTCCTGTGCTTCCGGGGGCGGGGCCCGTTTGTGTGGGGTGTGACCAGTGTGACGGGAGCGGGCCTGCGTGTGTGTGTGTGTGTGTGTGTGTGTGTGTGTGTGTGTGTGTGTGTGTGTGTGTGTGTGTCCAACGTGTCGGCGACGGCTGGGCACTGGCTGGAGCGAGAGAGAGCAGGCGTCGCTGCAGCTCTCGGAGGAAGCGGGTGTGGGTGTGCTCAGTTTGGAGGCGTAGTCCGAGTGTCTGTGGGCGTCTCTAGTTTGCGAAATGGGCGGGACCCGGGGCGCAGACAGTGTGGCCCGGCTGAGGCCCGAGGCTAGTGGGTTTGGCCAATATGTCAGGGGCGGAGGGCCAGGCGTTTGTGCAGGTCCGTGCTTGGCTTAGCTGGGTTAGTGTTTGCGACTCTGGCCGCCCGCCCCACCCCTGGGGATATTTTGGGTCTCGAGATGTATGTTGCCCGTGCGGATGGAGCCGCGATGCTCCAGATGCCAGAATACTTGGGTTTTCTAGAGCCAGCCTGGTCCCCAGTTGAGTGACCTCGCTTTGTCTCTAGGCCTGTTTCCTCAGTTGGCCCTTGTCCACCTCATAGGATCACACTGCATTTTGCAAGCTATAAAGGCCCGTTTTGTAGTTACTATTTGAGAATGTCATTGTGTTTGATTCCGGGTCTCACTTGAGGGTAGATGCGGAAAAAGGACAGGGTTGAGTCCTGCAAGCATGTGAGTGTGGGATATGTTTCGTGTGTGTCTGTGCTCTTCGTTACGTGTGCTTTTGCGCGCGGGGCTGGGGTGTGTGCATTGTAACACGCAGGTCTGTGAGATTTGCTGTGAGCGTGAGGGGTGAGGTGTGTGTCTGCATTTGTCCCGAGTCTTCAGCTTTCTCGGTGACAGTTCGCTCCCTTCAGCATTAGCCGCCCCAGCCTCCTTCCGCCCCCACAGACCCCGCCCGCTGGACCCAGGTGACTTACTCTCCTGGTGGGGGCGGGGGCGGGGCGGCTTTGGGATCTCGGGGTCGGGGCATTTGCCTGGGGACTCAATTGGGGGGCTGGGGCGGGACTGAGAAGGGGCTGGGATGGAACCTTCGCTAAGACATACAGGGGATGGGGGCAGGGGTGGGGTCTGGATGGGGCTTGGCTGGAGCTGGGCGAGGCATGGCTCAGGCATGGCCAGGATAGGCGGGGCTTGGCACGAGGGAAGGATCTGGGCGGGGAAGGCCTGAGCTGGGCGGATCTGAGTTGGTCTGCGATGGCCGGGAGGTTGGCTTGGACCCTCAGACGCCCTCTCGAACCCACCTTTCCTACTCCTCCCCTTCTGGAATGAATATGGGACTGGGGCCTTCCCCTCCAACCAGGGATCAATGGCCCAGGGGCCAGCGCTGGGTCGGACTCCTGGCTCTGGCCTTGGGTCGGGTCTGCTGACAGACCTCGAAGCTCAACAGCGTCTCCTCTCCTTGCCTTGATGTCCTCGGCACGAGGTCCAGGGAACTAGCAGGCTTGTCTCTGGTGTCGGAGATGGGGGGATGGATGGGTCGGTGATTTTGAAGAAGGGTCGTGGGGGCCGGGCCTGAGGCGCGGCTGTCCCCTCCCCCCCACCATCCCCCGCAGACAGCGTGGAGGATGAGTTTGAACTGTCCACTGTGTGTCACCGGCCTGAGGGTCTGGAGCAGCTGCAGGAGCAAACCAAGTTCACGCGCAAAGAGTTGCAGGTCCTTTATCGAGGCTTCAAGAACGTGAGTGTAAAGCCATGCCAACCTGGGCGAGGGGTGGGGGCGGGAGGGGCAGGACCTATCCAGGATCTCTCAGAAAGGTGGCCTGGACGCTTTGGGGAGTGAGAGGAACCGTGAGGGGGAGGGAGAGCCCACCTTCCCCTGCAGACCGAACCTTTACAGGGAGCTCTGGCCTGTTTGAGAGAGGGCGAAGCCTGTAGACTGTCCAGGTTAGTTCTGTGTTTTTATATATGTGCACTGGCGAGAAGTCTTGTCTCCCATTAGAAGAGCTACATGGTGAGCCCCCTGTAGACATGAAGGTTGTTTCTCTCTCTGGGAATCTCTGTGCATGGAGTGGGGAGGGGTGCAAGAGGGGTGGGTGGAAGGGGATTTTGTCTCTGCCCTCAGTCTGGTCTCCCCACCCCCCAGGAATGTCCCAGTGGAATTGTCAATGAGGAGAACTTCAAGCAGATTTACTCCCAGTTCTTTCCTCAAGGAGGTGAGGGAACCAAGCTGAAGAGGAAGCAGCTATCCATTTCTAGGCTGAGTCTGGGAAAGGGTTCTGGAGGGGCTGAGAATGCCAAGTGATAAGAGGCATTTGGGGAGCCCCATAGAAATAGGAAGTCCTCTGCTGTCTGGAAGCCAAGCTTACTGATCCACACTTATTCTACAGACTCCAGCACATATGCCACTTTTCTCTTCAATGCCTTTGACACCAACCATGATGGCTCGGTCAGTTTTGAGGTGAGCTGGAGGAGGTGGGCCAGGGAGGTCTGGGGCTTCAGGGCCAGGACCCGTGGGCCAACCGCAGAGAAGGGGGTGGGGTGAAGGGTATCTGAAGACACATTCCCCCCCTTCTGCCTTCCCAGGACTTTGTTGCTGGTTTGTCAGTAATTCTTCGGGGAACCATAGATGACAGGCTGAACTGGGCCTTCAACCTGTATGACCTCAACAAGGATGGCTGCATTACCAAGGAGGTATGCATGGCAACTGAAGAACTGGGAGGAGGTATAAAAGGCCCATAAGAGGAAATGTGACCCATATATGCATCAGCAGCTAGGGGTGAGGTCGACCCTAATCCCTAGGCCTCCTGGTTTGGAGGCTGGAGGCTCTGAGGAGGGATCCTCTTCTTTCCTAACAGGAAATGCTTGATATCATGAAGTCCATCTATGACATGATGGGAAAGTATACATATCCTGCACTCCGGGAAGAGGCCCCCAAGGAACATGTGGAGAGCTTCTTCCAGGTGCCTGGGACTGGGTAGGCTGGAGGGTCCTGGAGTGAAGGGAAGGAGTTGAGGTCCCAGTACAGAACTAATATGAGTTCTATTTGCCTCTTTCCTGTCATCCCTCTTATTCTCCTCACTATCTTTTTGCAGAAGATGGACAGGAACAAGGATGGTGTGGTGACCATTGAGGAATTCATTGAGTCTTGTCAAAAGGTACAGGTCCCTGCCCTCCACATTTCCCTGGTCTGGACTCAGGGCCTGATTCAGTGATATAGGAGAAGGCTCCTTTGAGTATCATCTCCCTAACTCAACCCCACTCCCACTCCCAAATCCTGTTCCTTAACAACTCAGAGAGGCCTGTCCCTTCCCCACCTCTGGTCTCTCTGGTGTCTCCTTTCTCGCTGCCTCTTTGTGTCTTCGAATGTCCCCATTTATGAATCAGGGTCTCTCTCCCTCTCTCTGACAAGCTCTTTTTCATTTTCTTTCTCTCCAATCTGCCTTACACCATGGCTACAGGACGAGAACATCATGAGGTCCATGCAGCTCTTTGACAATGTCATCTAGATCCCCAGGAGAGGGGGTCAGTTATCTTGGGGGGACCATGCTCTAGCCCTAGTCCAGGTGGACCTCACCTTTCTCTTCCCAGGTCTGTCCTCATCCTAGCCCTGCCCTTGGGCCTGTAGGAATCCAAGAGCCTGGGGATTCAGTGGTCCAGATCACTGGAACTAAAGGGGTCAGGGAGTGGGCACAGTATATCTTTGGGGTGATCCCAACTCCCAAACAGCTCCCACCCCCTTCTTGCCTGACTCAGTGCTGAGGGTTCCCTGCTATAGGAATTGAGTGGTTCTCCACTTCCTACCCCCATTCTAGAAACCACAACACTAGATAAAATTTCTCCTGCTATGGTGCTTCCCCCATCCCTGACCTCATAAACAATTTTCCCTAAGACTCCCTCTCAGAGAGACTGCTCTGTCCTTGGCACTGACTGGCCTTTCAGACCAGGGCCTTTGAGAGCTCTGTAGGAGGGGGACAAGAATGTAAAAGGAGCAATCCTGGGCTTGAGCCTGTGGTTAGATCCTAGGAGGTAGCTGGAGTAGAGAGCAGAAAGGCCTAGAGATTGTTAGTGAGATCTGGGGCATGCCAGGCTATCTCTCTGAGTTCCACAGGTCTGCCACCAAGCCATCAGAATATGAGTTTCCAGGCTCTTCAGAAGACTTTGTCTCCTTGGAAACACCCCAGAAATTTTCCATACCCTCCTCAGTATCCCAGGAGAGCCTGGAATCCTGATGTCTGGCTTATCTCTGGAATTTTTTCTTCTCCTTCCTTCCTTTTTGTATGGTGGTGGTGGCAGCAGGGGAATATAGGTGGGAGATGTCCTGGCTGATTCCTGCCAAAGTTTCAGCCTATCCTCTCTGGTGGCTACAACTTAAGTTTTCATTTGCCATGTCCTCTAGACTTGGAGGCATGGAGTGAGTCAGGGACCATCCAGTGGATGCCTTATAAGAAAAGGGAAGAACGGAGGCAGGCATAGCATCTGAACCTAGTGTGGGGGCATTCATTATAATCTTTGATCTACCCAGGCTCTATTTCAACCCCCCACATAGCCTCCTTATTTCCCACCTATGGTCTCCCCTTGCTTTATTCAATTTACCCAGAGATGCCCTTGAACACACCTAGAAGGTAGAGACCATAGGACCCAGGTCCCACTTCATCATCAGCATCCCTGCCATGCTGCTACCCCTTAATATACCTGCTTGTCCCATTTAGCTCACCTTCCCAGTCAGCCAGGATCTGAGGGGAAGGGCCCTGCCCCAAGGAAGCTCCCTTTCCTATCAGAATACTGTTGACTGCTTTGCATTTTTGTTCCTCTGTATATTTTGTAAAATAACAAATACACTAGATCCAATAAAACACAATGGCTATGCACAGGCTGCAGTCTCCGCCTTTTTGTCCCTCTTGCCCCACACATACTTCACAACCGCTAACTCATGCACTTGCAGATTTTTAGATCCCAAAGAAAAGTGCCTCTCTTTCCCATAGTATTCAATCCTTGGCAGGAGACCGAGACAGTTTCTGCAAGTGTTGGAAAGCTACCTGACCTCAGAGAGGCACCCATGCGAATCTCTCTCCTTAGAGAAGACGAGGAAGAGACAGGTTATCGATGTGCCAAAGACTATGACAAGCCAGCTGTCTTTTGGCTAGACATTCTTACAAGTTGAATCAAGAATTTCTAATTAACAGACATCACTTAATCTCAAAGTGCTTTCTTTTGAGAGGGGAAATTCCCTTTAGTTTCTAATGAAAATTTTGTTGTATAAATATTCCAATTTTGCCTCCACTATGGACATAAATTTGTGTCTATACTCCAGCCAAGAATGATGGGGGATCAGATGAAGTGGACTCAGGGCAGGTCACCATGGAGCAGGTGACACAACGTGTAATAGAGACTTCCTGTGTGGGGTTGAACCCTTTATTTATTCTCCTGGAGAGAGGCCACCAATGGTAGGTCACCATTATATGGTGATTAAACTTCACCATCCATAGAAAGGGAATCAGGCCTTCTCGTCCATCAATGTACACATTGACGAGGTCAAGGGAGAGGTATGTTGTCCAAAAAACAAAAACTTACTTCCAGAGTCCATCATTTTATCTGTGTTCCCTGCTCACATCACACAACACACAATTATCTACTCCTTAGGTCCTTGGGTTTCTTTTTTTATTTTTATTTTTTAAATTATAAATTTTTTTTTTTTTTTAGAAATTTTATTGGGGAACATTGTGTTTTACCAGGACCCATCAGCTCCAAGTCAAGTAGTCTTCAACCTAGTTGTAGAGGGTGCAGCTCCATGACCCATGTGGGAATCGAACTGGCAACCTTGGTGTTATGAGCCTGCGCTCTAACCACCTAAGCTAACCAGCCACCCCACCTTGGGTTTCTTTGGGTAACAACCCCTCTGAAGGATCTGATGAAAGCTGTGGGCCCACTGTGCAGAAGGAAAAAATGCGCACTTTTCCCATATATTTTTGTATCTCTGAAGCCCATCCATGGACCCAAAGTTAAGAACCTGTAGTCTAGCTTACCTTTCAGCTTTCCATTGCACAGAAGAGGAAACAGATGTGTTAATAGGAGGATGGAGATTAGACCCAGATCCCCAAGTCGCTGTCCCGAGTGGCACAGTAAAGATTTGTGTGTGAAAGATGGATGCTGTGCATGTCATGCATAACCTAAACAAGGTGATACTGTAACAGGTTCTCATGGTACTGTATCCTTTCCCTTCATGGCCCTTCTCAGTTTGTAACCATATATTTATTTGAGTGATTATTTGCCTTCTTTGATACACTGTAGGCTCCTGAGGTCTCCTCAAGTACCTGGACTAGGTTCCCCCCAACCCCCATCCTATCTTCAAGGCCTGGCAAATAATAGGCACTCAATAATTGTATGACTAATTGTGCGATTGGATGAATGAGCATGGTTAGTGTGAATATAACTGGGTTAGGTATGGAGCCATTCTCTATATTTTAGGGTAGAGTCAAGTTTAAGGGGAGCTGAAGTCTGAAGCCGAGAATTTCTAGTGAAGTGAGACGTGCACCAGAGCCAGGGCACACAAATGGGAACCAGAAAAAACCCAGCTGGTTGGCATTCTGATTTTTTCTGGTTATTGGTTGGATTCTGAATATTGCCAGCTGCTCCATCTCAAAACACTCTCCTTTCTTGTCTTCCAGTATTTCATACATACTGGTTTTCCTCTTGCCTTTCTGGATACTCCTCAGCCTTTCCTTGCAGACTCATCCTTCTTAATTGGAATTCTAAATGTTGGACCCCACAGCTCAGACCTGAGCCTCTTCTCCAAATCACATTCAACCCCATGGCTTAAACACCATCTATATGCAGAGGACTCCTAAGTTCTATCTCCAGAATTCTCCTCTGAGCCCCAAGACCCATGTATCCAATTGCCTTTTTGACATATTCATGTGGACCTGTAATGGTCAAATTTAACATGTTCAAAATGGAGCTTTGATTCTCAGTCTTCCCCATCTCAATAAATGACACCATTTATCTAGTTGCTCAGGTCAAAATTTAGGAGTCTTCATTTCTTCCTCTCCCTCATTTTCCCTCTACCCTCCTCTAATCAATAATTCCACCACCAGAGGTGCACCACCTCTCTGTCTCTACTGCTGTTCCCCTAGTCCAAGCCATTATCATTGCTCAGCTGGATTACTACTTTATTCTTCCACCTAAAGTAGCCCCTCCTTGCTGTGGTTACTTTCCATCACATCACTCAATTTCTTCCCTTCATAGTACTTATCAAAAACTGAGTTCCGGGGCCGGCCAAGTGGCTCAGTTGGTTAAAAGCTCGCTCAACAGTGCAAGCTCTGAGCAACAGGGTAAAGGGTCACTGGTTCAATTCCCGGCCCGAGCTGAGCTGCCAACAGGTGACAGGATGGCTCAGCTAAAAAAAACCAAAAAACAAAAACTGAGTTCCTATGTATGTACTGAATTTGTTATGGTCTGTTTCTTCAACTAGAATGTATACTCTATCTTATTCATTCTACAAATATTTATCATAGGCCTACTAAACTTCGGTTCCTGTTGTAGATGTGGTATGAAGATAAAGTATGTGGCAAGAACTGCCCTTCAAGTTTGAGAGGTACAGACATGGATGCTGGATCTTGCCTGGGCCACAGACCCCCGAGTCTGGACTGTGGAAGTAGATGAAATTGTGGCTGCCGACTTGGTAGCAGATGCCACAGTGTGAGGTGTGAAGCAAACAGGAAAGTGTCATGAGACTAAGGGTTGGGGTCAGCTGGGATGAAAGCCCCCAAATCCTCCAAGGGATCATAATATCCAGTGATATAGCCAAATGTCATCACAGGAAGTCCCCTAAGGGAACACTTGCCCTTAATCCTGATCTCAACACTTCAAGACTAAAAAGAAGAGGGACTATAAGAGTCCCTGGAGCGACAAGTTGGGCTACACTGGAAGAATAGAATGTGTGACTGAAGTGAAAAATGAACAATATTAAGTCTTAATCAGAATGACACTGAGATGCTCATTTCACATTTATACCTAACAAGTTGAGACAAATCTCTCAACATAAGTGCATTATGACAGGACTACAGGGAGCTCTGAAAACATATAGTAAGGGGATCCAAGCCCATCTAGGGCTCAAGGAAGGCTTCCCAACAGGAAATGTTTATGCTGAGGCCCAAGGGATCTCACTTCTCCCTTACACACACTTCGTGTTCCCCATGTTCCAAACAAGCCAGGCCTTTTCACCCGTCTCTACACTTGTACTGTTCCACTCGCCTGGAGTGCTCACTTCCCTTCCCGACTACTCAGTGTGGCTAACTCCTACTCATCTTTTAAGATGTAGCTCAAAATCGAAACCTCTCCCCAAAGGAGGGTTAAATCAGTCCCTCCATTGAGCTCTCCCAACACTTGGGTACACCTTATGGGGCATTTTGTGTGTACTTGCTTGTCTCCACCACTATACTGTGAGCTCATAGTGGCCCAAGAGCCTAGCACGAAGGCCAACTCAATAGGTGTCTGCTGAATGAAGGAACGAAGGAAAGACTGAATTTTTTAAAGGGGTTAGCATCAAGCTGTGGGGAGCAGGGGAAAATGATTCAAGACACAGGGGTGAGCTGAGCTCCTTGGAGCGTTGTCTTCACAGAACCGAGTCTGGGTCAGGCTGACGTAATGAGCCAACCTTTTAGAAGGATCTCAATAGAAATAGGTCAGTTCTTCCCTATGTCTTTAAGAACTAGAGGCTTCGTTTCCGCGCCTGCGCATTTAGAGAGTAAACACCTCTCTTTTTCACCTTCCCTCCCCCCCGTTATCCCTATTGCCCCAACCGGCTGCAGCCTCCTCCCATAATCCCCTTCTTCGGGTGGGGTAATTGTCTGTCCCAGGGCGCCTGGATTTTTCTGGAGGGTGGCGAGCATAAATGGTTCATCCTACTGCCTTCATTACCTTCCACTTTTCGCGTTTCCTCTGTTTTACTTTCCCCTACCGAAAGAAACTCAATAGGCTGGCCCAAAAGAAGGAGGGGGAGCCGGGCTAAGGGGACCGGTCTGAGCCGGTCTCTGGCGCAAGCGCAGTGCGGATAAACAGGAAGCAGGCGGCAGAGGCAGCGGCAACCGAGAACTAGGGGCTCCGTAGGGGGAATAGCGGAAGAATTACGATTGTCGAGAGAGCAACAGAGACTAACTGAGGACGAGAAAAGAAGCTTTGGCCACCTGCCTCCAGGGACCGAGAGGTTGCAGCTTCGCTCTCGGCTTAGGCTTCCGGCTCCCCAGCTTAGGCTGAGCCAGCGGCTGACAAAGGGCTCACTCCGGTGCCGCCGCCCTTCTCATCCGGGCATCCGGGTCCCTGCGGAGTGGGAGGGGGAAGGGCAGAGGGGGGAAAGGAAGGAGCCGGAGGGGCGTGCGCTTGGAGCGGAGGCCCTCTGCAGGGCTCCGGGCCGGCGGCCCAACGGACAGAGGCCAAAGAGGAACCGTAGAGGTGCTGGCAGCTGGAAGCAGGAGGATGGTGCAGAAGGAGAGCCAGGCGGCACTGGAGGAGCGAGAGAGTGAGCTCAACGCCAACCCTGCAGTCTCCGCAGGGGCATCGTTGGAGCCGCCGGCAGCTCCGGCCCCTGGAGAAGACAACCCTACCGGGACCGGGGGAGCAGCGGTGGCCGGGGCTGCAGGAGGGACTCGGAGGTTCTTGTGTGGCGTGGTGGAAGGTGAGCGCCCTGGCGCGGGCTGGGCAAGAGTTTCCTCCCTCCCGCCTCGCCCCAGTACTAACATGTTCTCTTCTCGTGAGGGGGTGGCGGCGGTGTTTTAAGGGGCTCTGAAAGGGTGTTACTTCCTTGTGTCTGACATTGGATCATGCTAAGACGAGGGGAGCGGCAAGACGGTGGGCAAGCCTCCCTTCACGTTCTTAAAT